TTCATTTGTACATTTAGAAAAAAATGGAACTCTAGATATAATTTTTTATATTCTTTCTTCATTTTCTACTGTTTTATTTAAAAATGATGATAAATTAACCATTTTATAATATTTTGATGGAGAAAAATAGATAATAAAGAACTTATGCACAAAGAAAAGTTAATCTGAGTGTCCAAATGTCAAAATTAAAATAATATGGACGATTTGCGCAATAAAGGCAAACGATAGAGAGCCGATTTAACATAACATGACGGAAAGGACCAACTCCGCAATAAAGGTTTGAAATGGAGGTGTAAATATCAAGTTTGAAAAGATAGAAACTATTTTCGCAATTAGTGTAAACAATAATGATCTTTTTGCTAATTACCCTTAGTTCCATTTTTTCTAGTTGCAAAAATATTAACCCCCCCCCCCCCCCCCCCCCAAAAAAAAAAAATAGTAAGCACCTTGGCATCTTCATTATACAGTATACTAAAAAATTCCATTATATTATCATACTTTAAAATTCATATGTATCTATACGTGTTTTGTATTCATAGTTTTTTTCTTGAGACATTTGCCCGAGGCACTGAAGAGTGGTTTACATAATCTAGTTCATGCCCAAGTGCCTAGGGACAAAGGCACTAAGAGTAGGGCTGAATGTGATCCGATTCGGTTCGATTATAACGAGAATCGAATAAAATTCAAAATTTTTAAGTATTTAGTAAGTGAAACCGTCGAATCCAAATTTAATTACGGAACTGATCGAATTCAATTATATTCGATTCGGTTCGATTCCCATGTTCCTTATGTACTATAATTAATTTTTTTAATACTTACAAAGTTACATTAATTCAATTAATGATATGTTCAATTTAACTCTTAAAAATAACGTAATCAAATCTTATGTGTTTTTTGCGTCTCTCTTTACTGAATTCTTCATAGATTTGATTGTTAAAATCACAGGAAGAGAAAGATAGCTAGCTCACAATAATTAAGAAAGGCTCTGTGGAACTTTAATTCGATTTCTTCAAAACAGTAAAAAGGACATTACGGTAGAATAATAGATTTGGGTAAAACTTAGGTCAATTTGATTAAGTTGGGTTTGGACTGAAAATTAGAAATAGAAAAATCATATTTTTGGATTTGAACTAAATTATCAAGTTAGCAAATTTATTTAAAAAATAAAATAATTTAGTTTATTTAAAATAAATAAATTTAAAAAATTGAGGAGATTCGGTTATTATTGGGTTCGTCGGTTCTTAATCTAGAATAAAGGATTGAACTGAACTCGTTAGTTCTCGATTCAGATATTTTGTCCGAATATTGAACTTAAGAAGAATCGCTCAATTCAGTTCGGATCCGGTTCGAATTGTTTCAATTTTGAAATTTTGTCCGACCTTAACTAATAGCATCTCCAAAAGTACTCTCTATTTTAAAGAGTGTAGAAGCGCTCTATTTTAAAGAGTCAATCATTACAATCATGTTACAAGATACATTTTAAATTAACAATTTAGCTCCTGTTTGGCCTCCATTAAATTACATTTCATTACATTTTATTTTTATCTTTCATATTTTCAATCACACAATCTTCCATAAAATAATATTATACGTAAATCGAAAATTTTTCCTTCTTTTTCAACAACTCATTAAAAAAAAAAATATTCCATCCATTTTCATTTCTAGAAAATGGGGGTCAAACAAGGGCTTAATTTAGAGAGAGTGTTTGGCTTTTCAAATTTAAAGAGACAGGCTCACATTCTATAATTAAATGAATTCAAAGTATTTTAATTTTCAATATAAAAACATAATAAAATAATCTAAAGAAAAATAAAAAACAGAGAAAAATTATAAATATTTTTTGGAAGTAGTAAAATTAAGTATTAAATATAAAAGGTTTGTTGGAGTATTTCAAAATTTTAACTTTCTAAATTTATAAATGCTCTCCAAATAATAGAATACGCTCTTTAAAAATAGATAGTCTCTTGAAAATACCCTAACTTCTAATTTACATTGAGCTATTTTAATTTTCACCTGTAGTCCTGAAAATTATTAACTAAATGAGTAGAAGTTGCTTGTTCATGTCCTTGCAGATATTTCACAATGAGATGCAATACATCCAAGAAAGAAAAATATTTTCAATTAGTTGACTGTCCATGTAATTTTGCAGTTGTTCGGACCATTAAAATTAGATGTTTGAGAGTACTTTATTGTTTTGGTACTTAATTTTGGTTGTATGTGCAGGGGCGGACCTAAGAGGGTCCCATAGGGTCACTTAACCCTCCAATTTTTAAAATTTTTTTTCGGACTTACTATGGAATATCAAATGAAATTGAAATATTACATTCTTAATATCATTTTAAAATACTCACGGCCTAACATTTCACGTCTTTAATGGTGTGCGAAATAGTCAATCGTAGAAACGTTACAACGTGTCAAAGTAGGCCATTCCAAATTAATATTTCGAGAATTTCGATAACAAGTTAACTTTAACAATCCTTTGATGATTATACGCTAGCCGTATCCATAAATCTTCTATATCCTCTCGAAACTCATTTCGAGATCTATATCATAAACATATCGAATGATCTAAATGAATATAAAAAATAGTTAAACGTACGTCATACATGTATGTCAAAAGAGACTTATAACTCTTTTTTTTTTTTAAATCAATTATTTTATTAATATTTATTATTTTTGCTCAACAAATTTATCAATATAATTGACATCATTTATTAGAAAATTTTATATGTGGTATGAAGTCAATTTTTATTTTTATTTTTTGAAGTAAAAATTCTTGATGAAATTTTTATTACTTTATAGGGGTTATAAATTGTTATACTACTTTTTCATCTTAATTATTTTTATATTCGAAAAAAATTTATATATAAAAAAAATTCAATCATTTTTAGGATTTTTTTTATTATTGTTACATTTTCCTCTCGATCAATTAATTATTTTTTCAATTGAGGTCAAAAATTTTATTAGGAAATTTATTAGATTATTTTTAAAAAAATCAATTGATTGAGAAGAAAAAGTAACAATAATAAAAAAAAATCATAAAAATGATTGAATTTTTTTTTATATATATAAAAAAAATTTAGATGTAAAAATAATCTATATGAAAAAGTAATATAACAGTTTATAACCCATATAAAGTATTAAAAAAATTTCGTCACATTTTTTAAAAGTTTGATTGTGACCTCCTAAGTTAAAATGTTTGCGTCAACCCCTGTGTATATGTATTGTTTTAGGAAAAACATGATGTTGGATCATATATTAGGAGACAGAGGAAATCGAATGATTAGGGCCAAAAATAAACAAATTATGGAAGATGGAGCTAGAGTGTAAAGAATTGAAAGATGAAGGCCCATGTTGCAAATAAGACGGGACTTGAGCTGAACCAAATGGGAAATTCAGGGACCAACTAGAACGAAAAGCAAAAGGATATACATTGCGATCATAAGACTTTACCCATATGATCACAATGGTAGCATATTTTGATCAGCATATTTAGAGTGATAACCATTTGATCGCAATGTTGTCTGGTATGAAATTTTATTTCATTTTATTTTTAAAACTTAAGTCAATTCCTACGTGAAATATGCGTGGTGCATGAATTTAACCTAATTTTAGAGCCTACAAAGAGATTATTATTCATACTAGCGAGGAGGAGAGCTTGTGGAGGAAAAATACATTATATACATAATTTGAAGGCAAAACACGGTTTTCATTAGAGATTCTCCATCCGAATCAAAAGGATTGGGATTTCAAACCCCAGAGAGAGAGAGAGGGGGGGGGGGGGATTTCTAGAACACTCCACAGAAACATCAGGGGAACAAAAATTAATATTCAAATTTTTTCTTGTAATACATATTTTAGGGGATGAATTCTCAACTTAGTACATCTTTTTGTACTCAAAACATGATATGCTAAAATTTGTGTCGTTAGTTGTAGTTATAATTTAAGGATTCTTCTTCTAGTTCTTAATTATGTTGGATTGATTTGTATTAATTTTTTAATTGCCGTTTGATTGAATGATCAACTTTTATATGTGTTTGTGACTTACTTTATTTTCGAAAGGTCAACGTAGGTGTAGCTTATGATTTACAATCAGCTTAAAATTCTATAGACATTATGTTTTGTGCATTTTAATTGAATAATCTTGGTGGTGAATGAAGTTTTATATATTCGAATTCAGGATAGTAATCTTTAGGATTGTTGTGAAAATAGGTTCAATTTACTCGGGAGATATTGTTAGACAGCTTAGGATTATTGATTGTCAATTTAAGCGTAAATTGAATTTAAAGTGATAATTTGAGGATTTAAATGGATACTAATGGTGAAGTCGGATTCCTATTACAACTTTCTTACTTAATTTTTCTCCAAAACATTACATTGGCACTTATTTATACTTGCACTTAGTTAAAAGGTGTAGTTATAACTTAGATAGAATCATTGTTACTTAAGTTCAATCATCTATTGTGTGTATTCTATAATTTTGGATAGATCGAAGTTAAGCTAAATTCTAATCTTCATGCGAACGATATTCATTTATTTATCATTATTATTTCTTGTCAATGACCCCGTATGCTTAAAATTTCACTAAATGCAACATGCAAGAGGATATATTTAGTTAAAAAATTAATTATTGACTTTGATTTAAATATTTAACAAAAATATAAGCTACGTCAAACATGGCTATAATTCAATAGTGGGGAGGGAGAGAAAACTCAAATTAATATACCATTCCTCATCTTTAAATGCATGGGTATATTTATCCATAAATGATAAATCATAGATCGAATCGTCAAATAAAAAGAATTCAATGCTATCATACAACTTTATATCAACTAAGTTCATGAAATGGAGATAAGTTGATATCACAAGGACGAAGTTTGGAAGAATACTTAGCCAAATTTTCGCCTATGATGGCACTGAGGTTCTCGCTCAGTCAGCCCACGAGTTTGCACAATGCACACAAGAAAACAATAAAGACGGCAATGTAAAGGAACGAACACAAATTTTTGGAGGAAAATGGAGTCAACCTGAATGAAGTCGAGGTATGTCACCTCCATTTTCTGTTCCACAGACTATCACATACGAGATCCTTGACCATGGATCTTTCCCTCGTTCAGAAACTGATTTGATAAGTAGCAATGGAGAAGCAAAAGCGTTGAATTTATTTTCAGAGCATTTAGGCTGTTGCTCTTTTTTTGTTTTTTTTCTTCTGTTCATGTAATTGTGGTTCTGCGTTATTGTTAGAGATATGACGAAAAGTGAAAATTACCCCCACTGATTTGCAAATTCTGGCACGTCTCTGATTGAGCTTCATGAAAGGACAATGGATAAACCACAGGAACTAAGCATTGCTCCTGAAAATATGGTTTTTGTTAAATAAGCAAGCGATCTTGCTGTCACCAAGAGGAGGATAGTTTTGATATACTTAAATAGGTTTGCCGTTCTCATGTTGGTTCACACTTTGAGTTTCCTTTCTGATGTTAATTCTTTCTTTTTAACTTCTGATTTTTAGTAATTAAGCTGAGGGTGATGTCCTATGTCTTAATCTATCAGATATGAAAGGCAAATGATGACTACGAGAGTTATGAAAGCGGAAAACCTGCTAAAGATTGGTCTACAACTGAAGTTTCGTCAGTCTCAGATTCCATCCAACCTGATCTTCCCTTTGAAAACGAAAAAGACCCTTCTTCAGAAGCAACCGAAGCTTCTCAAGCTGAAACTAAAGTCGCGTACAAGAGGATGCTCTCTGGTGGTCTTCAGAGCCCTAAAGCAGATGTCCCGAAGAGGGAAATATTACAAAGGATTAATTCCAAGAAGGCCGCTAGTTCATATCAATTGGGTCAACAACTCTCCCTCAAATGGTCAACTGGTGCTGGCCCCAGAATCGGATGTATTGCTGACTACCCTGTTGAATTGAGATTACAGGCATTGGAACTTACTAACCTCTCGCCACGAACTTGTCAAGAATCGTCGACCCCAGGGAGGATTGCTGTTATTTCTTCACCTACAGTTTGCAGGCAAAACTTAGTAATGGAAATATAACAAGCTCGACTTTCACTCCCCTGTTTTTAGCTTCTCTCCTACCATTTCTCCTACAGTGTATTGTGTTGTGTATTCGCACATTCTGCTGACATTTATTTTACAATCTCAGCACTGTAGTCTGATCTGTCCCTGCCTGCATTTCTTCATAGTTAAGTAGCATTTGCTGTCAATAAATGAAGACGGGTTTTTCAAGCTCCACTTTGATCTTTATATGCACCATCCCTACCTAATAATAGTGTAAACTTTGAGCTCTAAGTCACGGATAGAACTAATTATCTGGTTCATTTTGCTCTTTCATACAGAATCTGTTGATTTTCAACGACGATAAAAGCTGAGTTATGATGGTTCTGTCCCGTTCTAGTGAAACCAAACTGTGCTACACCATGTCCAACCCCCGTGTCTATACTCGTGCATGATACTAGTGTCCCCAACTCATCTATTAGACGAAATTCATTTATTTTTGCCAAAATTTGATTTGCATATTATTTTCTGTATATCCATTTTCTAGGTGACGTGACTGACCTCACCAGCGGTGGAGGACAATCAACTTCTATCAACTTTTAAATGAAGAAAATCAGTATTCGACCTTTCATTAAAGTTGGACAATTATTCCATGTTGGAATTGTTGAAATCTTCATTAATTATCATGATAATGTCTTCTAAATTTTAGACGCCAACCTAGGTAAAGATTGAGAAGTAAATTCTAGTTTCATAAAGCTAAATAAGATGACTTATTTAATGGAAATTTGGTCAATTTTCACCATTGGGATTGGACAATTATTCCATGTTGAAATTGTCGAAATCATCATTAATTATCATGATAATGTCTTACTTTCAAATTTTTAGATGCCAACCTAGGTAAAGATTGAGAAGTAAATTCGAGTTTCATAAAGCTAAATAAGATGACTTATTTAATGGAAATTTGGTCAACTTTCGTCATTGGGGTTGATTGTGCAATTCAAACGAAAAATTGACAACTAATTTGTTCTTTTTTAGGAAGGGCGATAACTCACTTGGTACTTCAGTGATAGGGTTGAGACTAATTGTAATATTTTCCATACTATTTCAAGATACTTGGCCTTTTGGATGCGCAAATTAGGACTATGCTCTTTAGCTTTAGATTTGTTCAACAATCAATAGTCAAATATTATTTATTCGGGTTCTTGATATCATACTTGGAAAATTATTGAAAACTCTAGAAAGCAATGCTCTGTATAGTGAGAGATCGAGATAGTTTTGAATGATTTAAGTCAACGACAGGGCATGACCAAATTTATAGCTTGTGTAAACGTTGAAAATCTGTTCGATGGAAACAGATTTTTAATTGACATCAGGATTCAAGATTTCCTTTGCAATAAGAAAGCTTTAAAATGCTCGGCCATCAAAAAGAGTAAAGGGTGATGATATTTGCCGTTGTAGGAAAGAAAAAAGAATAAATTCATTTGCATCAAGTGTTGGCGTGGTGGTCCATATTTAATCACCATAATGAGTTACATCCTTTAAAATTCTTTTCAACTAGTTACTCTATAGGAATAGTTAAGACTACGCTCTACTGGGTGTGTATGGTCTAATGATTAGACTTTGAGTGGTTGATCTTCGCAACTTTGTTTACTGTCTTTACTAGTAATACATAGTCATTCTTGTTGAAAATTTTCTTAATCATACACAACAAAAAATAAAACAGATTTCAATTTCCTACCAAGAATCTGCTTTGTTTTTCTATATTGTATCAGAGCCTCTTTCTTGAAAATTTTCTCTCGTTTTCGTAATTGTTTTTTTTACTCAAACGTTCCTCCCATCCAGTCATTTCCTTCCACGTGTTGTTTGAACGGATTCTCCGTTTGTCGTCTTCCAATAAATAAAGTCTTCCTACCACAAATTCTGTTATTTTCCTAGGAACTTCAAAATCGTTAATTGTGCAGTATATATATACACCTATTCCTCAATAAGGTTACGCACATGGTTTGCATAAACAGAGCAAGTCAAATATGATCGACCGAGAGATTGAAAATGGTAAGACAGAAATTTTTTCGGTGCTTTCTCATGGGATTGAAAATTTGGTTTGGTGTTTGCCCAGTTCATGGGATCGAAAATTTGATTTGGTATGTGCCCAGTTCATGGGATTGAGAATTTGGTTTTGTATATGTCCAGTTCATCTGGAATTTGATTTGGTGTTGGTTCGATGTATCTTGTATTTGAAATTTGCATCCATTTGCATTTGGCTTGTAGATTGAATTGCAATTTAGATTTCTCACGATTGTGTATTTCATGAGCATACAAATCATATTGATATTGATTGCCCTTTAGTTTTACATCATTTCCCTACCATTCATTGTTCATCGTTGCAACTTGTTGACTTCACGAAGTCACACTCAATTCATCGTTTTTGTTTCTTGGTTGACAAACTCCCGTTGCTTCTTGCTATAGCATCGTGAGTTTGAGGGGAGATATTAATGTAATCAATATATTAGGTTAAGGGTAGTTTAGTATTTTATATTTCCTTTGTTTTGTAGTATTTAAAGTCATTGTAATCTCATATATTTGCCCTAAGTTTGGATGATGCAACAAGAGTTTCTCCATTCTTCACATCTGTTTGTTCTTCTCCTTTGTTTGATTATCAATTCGGTTTGTTATTTTCTACACATTTGTCCAACCTCAAATAAAAATCCACATAGAAAACATGATTGAGAGAACTAGGTATAATTTTTCTTGTGCTAACAAGAATATATCATATAATTGTATTGTATTATTGATTTCTCAAACCCTAGCAATCTATTAATAGAATTCCCTTGGTCCATCTCTTAAACTTACTCATTCCAATATTTAATTAATTCAATTAATTAAATTTGGCCCATGAATTAATTAATCCAAGTAAAAATTACATCCCACCGAAGTTTTAAACTATCAAATTCAAAACTAAGATTTAATTTTATTTTTTTTTTCAAAAATCAGATGATAATTTAAATTTTAAAGATTAATAATATTATTAAAAAAATTATTCTACATTGCCCAATTTAATTTCCATACTCTAATTACTTCTCTCTCCCTCTCTCTCTCTCTCTCTCTCTCTCTCTCTCTCTCTCCCCTTTGTATTTTCTCTTTCCCACCCTCTCTCTATTCTCTATATTGGAGCCGAAGCCTCTGCACAAAGCGGTACACATGGGGGTGCTTTAAAGTAGTAGCATAATGTCGAATCAAAGAGAGAACGCTCTGCCCAACCGTTGTTTCACTGAGATGTGCACAACAGCTTCAGAGCGATATCGATCGACACTGCATGCAGATTGACAGATTTGATGGTGTGGCATCGTGGCTTTAGAGCATTGCAATTACCAGACGGTAATAGGGTGATGGTCTGTGTGATTTTTTGTTGAGGTACGGCTGCGAGATGAGGTATTCTATCTCGTCTATTTTCTTATGTTGATTGCTGCAGTGGCGGTGATTCTGATAGTTCTAATGAATTTGGGAATATTTTTGGTGGGATTTGTGTCTGTGGTGTGGTACAAATGGGGACTATATATTGGTAGTGTGGTGGCGGAGATGGTAGTGGTGGGGTTGAATCGATGATTTTTTGTTCAGGTGATGGTGGTGTGGTGGTCGCGGCTGTGATGGAGATGTTAATGGTGGGATGGTGGTGACGATGGCGACAACAGCTATAGTTGTGGTTGTGGATTGGTTGCGATATTGGTAGGGGTCGTGGTGGTGGCAATGACGACGGTGATAGTATATTTGGGAATTTTTTGGTTGGTCGTGGTGGTGTTGTGTAGTGGAGATGGTGGTTCTGGTGGTGGTAATGGGGCTATGTTTGGTTGGAGTTATATAAAAATGTATTGGGACCAATTATTTAGTTATTTTAACCAATAAAATTGATTAATTTTTTATTCAATAAATAATATGGTCAACTATTTTAAATTGTGACCAATAAATTGGATATTTTGTTATCAATAAATAATATATAAATGATAAATTGTGACGAATAAATAATATGCGGCCTAAAAATTTGAGTCGTGACTTATACAATTTGTGATTTGTGACCAATAAATAAATTGCGACCTATAATTTTTTTCATTTGTGATCGATGAATAAATTGTGGCTTATAAAATATTTGGTTTGTGATCGTGAAAAAATTTGTGACCTCTAAAAGTTCATATTCGTGATCGAGAAATAATTTGTCGTCGGTTAATTCGATAATTTGTGATCAAAAAATATAGAATTGTGACATTAATACACTGAATTAATAAAATATATTTTTAATTAATTTTTTCATAAATAAATATTAATTAATATCTGATTTTTGAAATGTGAAACATTGTTTCTTAGTTTTGAAACGGATCATACTTAATCTCTTAGATATGAAATTTTTCCTTAATCCAACTAATTAATTAGGGCTTTTTACAAGCAACCTAATTAATTAATTGTCAATATTTATCAATTAATTAATTGGTAAATCTCACTCGTCTTAGGTTTCTGATCATGATGCTTAACGATATGAATTATAATTTTTATCTAATTAAAGTAGATAACTAATTTATCACCAATTCACACCCATTATCCCAGATTAATATCTAGCAATGTGTTAAGATAATACATGTGATAGGAAATATTACGTGGTATGACAAAATCAAACTTGTTTGTAAACCTATAAGTAGGCTCGCATTAGTTGTCTACAATAAGATGGCTAGTTTTGAGACTTTCGACATAAAAAAGCTTATCCGGCTTATCTTCGCTTTCGCTCATGACGTGTATTGTAGTCATAGTCTTTTAGTCGCTCGCTCGCTCGTTCTAATGCTCATTAGTTGACGGTAAGCGAAGTGCCTCTCATCCCAGATTGATATTTACCAATGTGTCAGAGCAATACATGTGACGAAAAATATCACGTGGTAAAATAAAACCAAATTTTCGCATTTACTGTGAAACTCTAATCCATTGGTCAATATGATTCGATCAGTTACAAGATATAAAAGAGTGTCAATCTTAATTATTAATTGTGTCTTTCATCTTACTAATTAGTCAATGTAAGTCGAAAACTCTTTTCGACTTATGAGTAAACCTTGGCAAAATATTTTGTTATCAATTTAACTGAATGAAATATAAATCATAATCTCTTTCTATATATTAGTGACAAATCCTCTATTGATCATTCACAATTTTCAAATGATTTTTGACATACCTGAACGATGTCGTATCATTGACTCTTGACA